GGACAAGAGTTTTAAACCAATTGTCCCAGGCAGTGCAATCTCTGTTCAAGTGGGAGAGTTCAAAAGGTCTACAGCAACCAGACAGCAAGGGTCCCCTGGCAGCTCAAGTGTGACTTGCTCTCGTGCTCCGTGGAGTCAGAAAGGCCCACCCAGCAAGAGTTAGTCAAGGGAGGTTGGTGCTTCCTTCCCCACCTTGCACCTCAACCATGCCCAGCCACTAGTAACCCCATGGGGCTGTGACCCAGTTCCCTCCAGTGAGCAAATGTGCCAGGGATTTGCACCTGCCAGAGTCAAAGGAGAGTCAATGCCTCCTCAGCCAGGCTGCTGCCCTCTGCCACTAGCAGGCAGGGGAAGATCAAGCCTGACTCCCTCCAGTGCTCATTGGAAACTGGGGAGTGTTCCTGTTCTGAGCCAGGGGTTACTGCTGCAGCGTGTGTTTTTCTCCCTCAGAGACCATGCCTGTGCCCCAGCTGCACTCCTCTGGTACTCCTATGGGGCAAGATCTGGCTCCCTCCCACAGTCCACAGAACTGGGGAGGTGTCTTTCCAAAATTTGATCCTTGTGGGAGCCCAGAGCACACCATTATTGTTTACACTGCTTCGTAGGTGCCACTGTGTAAATACCTGTGCCTCTGCTAGGCACGTATGTGGTGCTGGGCCAGTCCCCCTCCCCCTGCAACTCTCCACTTCTACTTGAGTCACAGTTTTAGTGCAGCTATGCTGCAGCCCATGCAATGCCCAGCTCAGGAACCACCAGACACTCCAGGCTCTGCAGGGATTAGCTTCCAGATTGCCAGGCAAGGGGGGAAGGGTGGATTGGGAGTTCAGAATGACATATTTCTTCAACTTTTATGCCAGGCAAGAGAATGCCCAGGCTCATAGTGGAATCCCTCTGGAGAAGGAGTCCTGGCCTTCAGTGGCTCTCTCCCATGGGGTGAAACAAGAAGTCTTCTGTTCGCTGCTTACTCAGTGAGCCACTCTCTTGGGGCAGGGGACAGACTCTTGTTCTCTTTGGGATGGGTTTTGTATCTGAAATTTGCTTCCTTTTGGAGCCAAAGCTTGCCTCAGCAGGGATGACGCACTTATCAATCTTCTCTCTCAGCTCAGCTGCAGACCTTCAGCTTTATTAGGGTCATCTGACCATTATCTCTCCCTCTAGATGGGAGGTTCTGTTGAAAGCTGGCTCCAGTCGGCCATCTTCAACATAATTGAAACACTTGTAATTCTGACTGCAGTTTTTTTTTTTTTTAATACTTCAATGTATCTTGTTATTCATGTCTCCATAACAGAGCAAACTTACAAAAAACTCTTGGGTTCTGCTCGATTTCTTGCCCATGTGTTCATGTATTCTATAATAAAAGTTGAACAGTTTGTGGTTTGTGTCAACAACAATGTTAACTGATAAAAGTGGATAAACCTACGTATGAATTGAAAGATGGGGGAAGGAAGAAAGGCGTCTAAAGTTAATGTATGACCACACCCAGCCATTCTGTCAGTGAGATTTACTGGATGATGGAAATGCAGGTCCCATGTACCTATGGCCTGAGAGCACAAATAACTTATCAGGGCTCTTATTAGGAGACTCAGCTACTGGACTTGCAGCAAAGACTCTGAACACAGGGGACTATATTCTCAGGGAACATCACGCACTAAGAAACAGAGGGTCTCCAAGAAAGACCAAGAGGTAAGACTGTACTTGGTCCTCTTTCCTCCAACTCCCTTGATCCACACAGGCTGTGTGTGGGCTGTCTTCCCTCTTCAATTAGATGACCAAACCACAAGTCTTAATTTTAAGGACTGCTATTGTCACCTAGGTGAGTTTCCAGCCATGTTATTTGCAGATGGATATACCTGTAAACATTAAGGACATCTAACAACACTATGTTGAATCCAAGTGGTGACAGTGAACAACCTTATCTGGTTCCACTTCTAAGTGAAATGCTCTCACTTTCCCTCCTTCGGTATGATGTTAGCTGTGAGTTTGTCTTATAAATGGCTTTTACAAATTTAAAGTATGTTCCACCTATGCTTATGTTGTTTTCTTAAAAGGGTGCTGAATTTTGTCAAATGTGAGAGCAATTAAGCAAGAGAAGGAAATCAAGTGTATCCAAATGGGGAAAGAAACCCCATTCACCAGCATTTTTTCTGAGATACATTTAAAAAAATTCTTTCTCTAGTAATTAAGATTAATTCTTCCAATATGCAAGTTTACCCTTATCACCTTTAATGAACCTACTATTTCAGATGACATTGGTTATTTTAGTTCTATATTTTCTTTGCCTCCTTTATTTTTGAGTAAAAAAAAAAACAGAAAGAAAAAAATGGGGAAAGAAAAGTCAAACCATCTCTCTTTGCTGATAAGATCTTGTATCTAGAAAACCCCAAAGATTCTGCCATGAGACTCCTGGAATTGATAAATTTAGCAAAGTTTTACGTTACAAATTCAACCTATACAAATCAATAGCATTCCTATATGCCAATAACAATCAAGCTAAGAATCAAATCAAAGACTCAATACCTTTCACCATAGCAACAAAGAAAATAAAATACCTAGGAATATATTTAATCAGGGAGGTGAAAGACCTCTACAGGGAGAATTACTACCTACAAAACAGTGAGGAAGGCTCAGCATTTGTAGCTCAGCAGCTAGGGCACTGGCTATATACACCAAGGCTGGCAGGTTCAAACTCAGCCTGGGCCTGCCAAACAATGACAACTACAACAAAAAAATAGCTGGGCATTGTGGTAGATGCCTTAGTCCCAGCTACTTGGGAGGCTGAGGCAAGAGAATCGCCTAAGCCCAAGAGTTTGAGGTTGCTCTGAGCACACAGCACCACAGCACTCTACTGAGGGTAACATGGTGAGACTATGTCTCAAAAAAAAAAAAAAAAGTGAGGAAGGACATCACAAAAAATGGAAAAACATGTGCTCATAGACTGTCAGAATCAACACTGTTAAAATGTCTATACTACCCAAACTGATTTACAGATTCAATGCAATTTCCATTAAAAATGCCATCTTTTTTTTCACAGATCTAGAAAGAATAATTCTATGCTTCCTACGGGAACAGAAAAGACCCCCATATTGTCAAAACAACATTAAGCAAAAGGAACAAATTGGGAGGCATCAATTTACCAAACTTTAAACTATACTACAAGGCTATAGTAACCAAAACGGCATGGTACTGGCACAAAAACAGAGGCACAGATGTATGGATCAGAACAGAGAATCTGAATAGAAAATCATTCTCAGGTTGCCATCTGGTCTTTGACAAAGCAGAAACATACAATGGAGAAAAGAATCCCTATTCAGTAAATGGTGCCGGAAAAACTGGTTAGCCATACATAAAAGACTGAAACAGGATCTGCACTGTCCACTATTCATAAAAATTAATTCATGATGGACAACAGGTGGAAAAACACTTACAGATACTAGCATAGGCAAAGAATTTATGAAGACCTCAAAATCAATCATAGCAACAACAAAAATAAATGGGACCTGACCAAAATTAAAAACCTTCTGCACAGCCAAGAAAATAATCAATAGGGTGAATAGATAACCTACAAATTGGGAGAATTATTTGGATGCTATACATCTGATAAAGGGCTGGTACCCAGAATCTATAAAGAACGCAAGCAAATCAGTAAGCAAAATAAATAAATAAATAAAATAAAATCAACCCCATAAAAAAGTAGGCAAAAGATATTTATTTATTTGAGACAGAGTCTCCCTTTGTCACCCTCAGTAGAATGCTGTGGCATAATATCTCACAGCAACCTCAAATTCTTGGGCTCAAGCAATTCTCTTATCTTAGCCTCTCAAATGGATGGGACTACAGGCGCCTGCCACAACACCCGGCTATTTTTAGAGATGGGGTCTCTCTCTTGCTCAGGCTGTCTCAAACCTGTGAGCTCAGGCAATTCACCCTCCTCAGCCTCCCAGAGCACTGGGATTATAGTCATGAGCCTCCATGCATGGCCCCTAAAAGAGCTTTTTAAAAGATAGACTAATGGCCAAAAAACACACACAAAAAATGTTCAAAGGCTATAATTGTCAGGCAAATCAAAAGCACAAGAAGTATCACCTAATTCCAATGAAAATGGCTTTGACCTTCTTTTTTTTGAGACAGAGTCTCACTATGTGGCCCTTGGTAGACTGCCATGGCATCACAGCTCATAGTGACCTCAGGTGCCAGCCACAACACCTGGCTATTTTTTTGAGGCAGTTGTTTAGCTGCTTTAGCAGGCCTGGGCTGGGTTCAAACCTGGTGTATATGGCTGGCACCATAACCACTGTTCTACAGGTGCCAAGCTGAGAATGGCTTTAATAAAAAGTCCTAGGACACAAACACGGGCATGAACACGGAATGATAAACTGTTGGTGGGACTGCAAACTAGTGAAACCTCTATGGAAAACAGTATGGAAACTCCTCGAAGAACCAAAAGCAGACCCACCATTTGATCCAGCATACCCACTACTGGGTTTTTACCCAAAGGAAAAGAAGGTATTTTACAAAAACGATTCCCGCACTCAAATGTTTATAGCAGCACAATTCACAAGTGCAAAGATGTGTAAACAACCCAAGTGCCCATAACTACACAGAGTACTACTACTTAGCCATAAAGAGAAAAGGTGGACTAATACAATACCTCTTGTAGTAACCTGGATGGAATTAGAAATCATTCTAAGTGAAACATTGTGTGAGTGGAAAAACAAACACCACATGTATTTAGTACGAAATTGGAACTAATCAATCAATAGTCACGTGCACATATGGAAATAACATGCATCAAAAATCAAGTTGGGGGAGGGGAGAGGTAAATTCACATCTGATGGGTATAGTACACATTATCTGGGTGATGGGCACACTTCTAACTTTGACTCAAGCTGTACAAAAGCAATTTATGAAGCCAAAACATTTGTATCCCTGTAATATTCTGAAATTCAAAAGTATCATTAAAGGATGAGCCATTTCCTAAAGTTGAACAAAATGCTGGGCACAAGGTTCAGATACTCAAAGCAGATGTCTTTGAAATAAATGAGGGTCAACTAGAAACTCCACAGGCTGACTTTCAGGAGATTACCCAAGATCATTACTGCAGTATGAACTTTCACAGCACAGAGAACTGGCCACTCAATGGTGTTATTTTAACCAAAGTGTTTCCTGTGACTGAGTACAAGTAGCTACTAAACCAATAAAACCATGTAGTCAATGCTTACAAAAATATGTCTTTATTGTGTTCTAATGTTCTTGCATTAGACATATACCTAGTTATGTAAACTTAGTCTTCATGTTAAACATAAATTAAACACAAAAATTATAAACACACACAAAAATTATAAACAATTCAGCAAAACTGCCAGAAAATCCCTCCAAGCCATGAATCCTTACTGAAACTGTATGGTGGAGACATGTGGTGCACACATGTAGTCCCAGATACTGGAAGGACTGAAGGGGAGGATCACTAGAGCACTGAAGTTTGAGAGTTCAAACCAACCTGGATAATATGGCATATGTATGGTGAGATGATGAAATTGTCTTAAATCATAACACTTTGAAAACTGTTGGCTGTAGCCAAATGTCTATGTTGAAAGCAGCAATAAAAGCAAATAAGCACAAAAGTGATAGAGACTAAAAACTACAGGTCTCACCACATACAGTGAATTGGCCAAGTCAGATAACTTGATCCGACCCTTAAGCAGAGTATCACTGTTGAATGAAAAAGATCAGGGATTCGACCAACCAGTTACAGGTTAATTGTATAAGCAATGGCAGGAAATGCCTCAGAGGACAAGTCCCATGACTTTAGAACACAAATTTCAGAGGACCTGAAGATGAGGAAAAGATCCACTTCCCCCTCAAAGATTACTAGACACAGCTAAGGATTGAGCTGTGTCCTGAATATTCCCAACTCTAGCAAGACATTTATGCAAATGTCCCCCCCCCCCAGAAGATTCTTGCTGAGTTTGGGAATAGTTTGAATGTTACCCTGGAGAAATATGTCATTGCAGCTAACATACCCAGCCCGCATACAGCCTGACTTGTTTCTTTTACAGGTTTTGAGATCTCAATCTGTGAGAGGCCCACAGTGCTACACACTCCTCTTAAAGGGCACAAACCCAAGACGATCCTGTTGTCCCTGTGCCTCCCACGGCCTTCTTAGAGGCAGGGGTGATTCCCACAGCTTGTGAGAGGGTCTGAGACTGCACTAGTTCCACATCCCAGGGGGCTAGGACCAAGCTCAACCCCAATGGTTCCTGTTCCTAGAAGGACACTGCTCCATCTCAGCAGCTCAGAAATTCAAAGGACAGCACCTCTTGTCATGGAGCTGAGGGATAGTCTGTGGACTGCTGCCACTGTCTCCAGAAGGTGTGTGAGGCAGGTGGCTCAGTTCCGTGACTCTGAGGCTGTGGGACTGCGGACAGTAGACATGAGGTGCGACTTATACGTCTTGCTCAGGCCTGTCATCCAGAACTTCAACAGCTTGACGTTGTCCTCCTCAGATGCGCCAAGGATGCTCAGGAGCTTCTGAGTGTCCTCTTTGGGCCGACTATCCACCTTGGTGAATTTGAAAAGGACCTTCACCTTGCTGTGGAAAATCAAAGACAAAGAGTCAGACAGCAGAGGAACAGCCCCAGGAGTTCTTGGCACTGGCACACATGGCTTTGAGACAAGCAAGAATCAAATGTTGTGGCAGCTGGTGCCCATGCACCGTAGAAGCTCTCACTGGCTATGCTAACCCCGGGGAGTAAGCCTGGCTAGCCAAAAACTTTAACAAGAAACTGGTTGCTCCTAAGCCTCCCTACATTATTTGCAATCAGGACAATGTCTGGCTAAATGTGACAAAAAAGTTACGAAGAATCAAGGCAAGAGGAAATAGAGTAACTTGCTTTAAAGTAAAGGGAGGACATATGGGGTTTTCAGATTTTAAAAATTAATTAATACTCTGGTTTCTCTTCAGATCATATAAATCTTTCACCCTTTAAAAGTTAAGAAGCAAAGTACAGAGCTTCAGTCATGAACCTCATTTGTGTACTTGGAGTCCTTCCCTGACCTTTGGTATCTCTTAGAGCTGGGCACTGGGCACCGGGCACTACCCACAGCCCACAGAGCAGGTGCCTGGGCAGGAGACACAGGTCACCTCAGAGTCACCCATGCTAGTAAGTGGTAGAGCTGGTCTCGCGCCCACAGTCTCAGTCTCTACTCTGCCTCCCTCAGTGGCCACCGCTAGTCTTCTTTTGGAAATAGCTTCTGGTTTTTATCAGCAGAATGTGCTGTTGTCATTGGTTAGGAAGCAAAGCAGGGCTTTCAGGCTGAGGCTGAGAGCACTTACTTCATCCATTCCTCCTTGAGGCAGACCAGGCACTGGTCGACCACGTCCACTGATAGATTCTGGTTGGTCAAAGCTGCTTCAATCTTATTCAGGATGGTGGGGCCAACTGCAAAGAGGGGTGTCGGAAAGCAGGGGTGTCAGCACTAGGCAGAGACCGTGCTCTTCTGCCTCCTGAGGAAAGGCAGCCACGCTCAGAGGCACCCACCTCGGTCTGCAGCAACAGGGCTCCCACTGGTCACCACAAACTCATACTTGCTCAGAGGCTGCTCGTCCTCACAGCCGACCGGATGCAGAGTGGAGCGGGTGGCCACATGGACCTCCACGATGACAGCAAACTCTGTGGTCACACAAGACACACCATCTTGTTCTGTACTCACCTCACCTCCTAAATAAACCTACCTGAGTCTACCTCCAGATCACTTCACATCAACTAGGAAACACTACCAGGCAAAAGGCCTCTGAGAGTAATGGTTTGGTATTTAAAACCTTTTGCAGTTTATTTGTGAATAGAGTTAAGGATTACGTTGTACCTCTTTTAAACTAGTGATTTATCATACTATAATAGTCACCAATTACTTTATATACATCACTTCACAAGAAGTAAACCCAATGAAGATGGCCCCACTATTAGCCCCATTTTACAGATGGGGAGATAGAACCAGAGAAGTAATGGTCACACAGCCAGTAGTTCTAAGAACTTCAAGCCTCTCTGAAACCAGAGCCTGTGTTCCTAACACAACCCAGGAAAAAGGCAGTGCCATGCAGGGGGGCTGTATCACAGCCTGGGTGCTGAACAGGGTCTGTTGGTGGCACGTGAGTGTTTGCCTACCCCTCACAAATGTGCTCAGGGAAGTCACTAACTTGCCAGGAGGCTGACGCCTGGACATTCCTGACCAAAGGTGAGGGATGATCTGCCTTCTGGTTCTTTGTGGCAAAGGCACAAGCCCCAGCAGCACCAGTGGGTGTCAGAGAAAACCCCAGGCTCACAGAAGGAAGAGAAGACTGGAGAGGATGAGGAAGCAGAATGGGCAGGAAGAGAGCAGAGGGCCCAGCCAGGTGCAGACTCAACCAGAGCCCAGCCAGCCTCCTGTGGCATCGACTTATCATGACAATGGGCCCCCAGTGACCACATGTGTTGTTCTCAGTGCCCTCCTACCCCCAAGACTGTAACCTGTGGCCTGCTGAGAACCAAAGCCTCTACAAGATACATTCCCTCCCAAGCTGTCCCATCCAATCCTGCCTTGTGAAAACAGCCATGGGATAGGCTGGATCTATAATGTGGTTCCTGAATCTGGGGCCAGCAGGCCACATCCTCAAACCCATAATTAAGATCCAATTCCACTCAGGGCCCTGAGTGCAAAACTCTCTGCCCTGAGAGGCCTGCAGCCTGTGGTAGCACACACCTGAGGACAGCACGTGGGGGGGGATCTGCACATTTGGGCTGAGCCCCAGGAAGTTGCAGCGATATGCTTCTTCATACTGGATGCTGTCCTGGATGATGCGCACACAGCCCACCGGCAGCATGGTCTGAGGACAGAATGACACAGCCTGGCCTGTCTCTATCACCAAAATCCACGTGCCCTAGCAGCCCAGTCCAAAGCCTTCCTTCTCCCAGAGACATTGGGTCCCTCAGCCCATAGGGTGGCCTCCACACCAGGGCCCCAACTCTTGTGCTGCCCATGAGCCACACATCAATTCCCGCTGCCTTGCTTTGTGAAATTAACTTGCATTCTGTGCCTTCTCAGGTGTTTGTCCTTCTCCATCCCAGAGAAAGAAAACTTTCTTCAGACACTGTCACATTCATTTTTGTTCCCTCACAGGCTTCAGTAGTGATAGCACGGTCACCAGACCAGACCTGGCCTTAGCACCCACCGACCTCCATCACAGTGGGCTGTGCCTGCGGCCCATCCCGACTCATGGAGAGGCCCAAGCAGAGGAAGGCATCGTACCTACTGTGGCAGCTGGGAACAACTCCGATGGTTTCTTAGAGGGACTTGGGGATTGGAAGGGGTAGGGAGGGTAGTTAGTTATCATTCTATCAGAGGACAGCACAGATTCTTTCCATCAGGAATAAAAACCATCAACTGGAACTTTTAGCAGTGAAGGAAAAAAAAGAGGTCCTAAGATTCAGGCATGAGCCACTCATGAGGTCCCACACTGACCAGTGGAAGCACCTTCACTCCCACCTAAAGCCAGCGCCAGGCCAGTGTAGTCCTACAACACATGGGAAAGATGTTCTTACCCGAAGAACTTCAAAAGCTGAGTGGACAAGGTCCGTGTCTCTGCTTTTCCAGATCACCTGATTCCCCATGAGAACGTGCCAGGCCAACATGCGGAAGGATGGGGCACCGAGAACCTGAAATACAGAATGCAGGGCTTTCTGCATGATTAACAGAAGTATTTTTTCTCTCCCCTCCAATGCAACCTATAGTATTTCATTCATGTATTTAGTAATTTTCTGTATACAGCAAAGAAAGCTGAGGTCCCATGACGTGTCAGCACCCAGAAAAAACTAGAGCTTCTCCTCAACACCCCAGATCATGACTATATCCAGGAGGCCGCCCAACATGACACACTTCATACCGAGGTGCACAAGCCCAACACTCTGAATGTGTTTTTCTTTTTGGGGGGAGGGAGGTAGGGTTTTGCTCTGTAACACAGGCTGGAAGGCAACCGCATCATCACAGCTAACTATAGTCTTAAACTCCTGGCCTCAAGCATCTTCTCAGCCCAGCCTCCCAAGTGGCTGAGACTATAGGTACAATGCCACTATGCTTGGCTAATTTTTCTATTTTGGGGGAGATAGGGGTGTCTTGTCATGCTGATCTCCAATTTCTGGCCTCAAGTGATCCTCCTGCCTTGGCCTCCTAAAGTGCTGGGATTACAGGTGTGAGCTATCATGCCCAGCCTGAGAATGTCCTTTAGAGCTGCTGTTCCTTTGGTCTAAGGATAGTGCCTGCTTTTAGTTACCATAGCTTTATCTTTTACTTTAGAACAACCCCCTTCATTAACTCCCATGACATGGGGTCTGGCCTGTTGTTGCATGACTTCTAAGAAGCCAAACACAGCTTTGAAATAAAAACAATAAAACAAAAAAGAGGTCACAGTACCACATTTTACCAAACCCTAACACACTCAACATAGTCTCACCTCTAGTGGAATTCAAGATTCTTTCCAACTTTACTCCACATAAATAATAAACAGGATGATTTCAGCCAAATGCACAATTCTGATGGAATGAGGTTCCATCCAGAAGCCCCATGGAACACATGCCATTAAATCAGTCTCACTCCACTTTCAAGAACAGAAATAACTATCTTTTGATAAAACAACGATCATTTTGAAAATAAATATGGAAAATATAAAAAGGGGAAAACCTGCTCTTGTAATCAAGCAATCTTCTCCTTTCATCTGACCCCTGACCCAACACAGCCAAGGTCCTACTGTGGGATTAGAGTGTGTTTTGCCTTTGGTACCTCCCCCCACCCCCAGCCACCCTGCACATGCTGCATGCTCCATTTCTCCCCCATCCCATGTTCTGGATACACCACAGCTAGCACAGTTGGACAGAATTGTTCCAATTCTGTCAGGAGGTTCTAGAAGATTAAGAGGACCAGGGAACGCCAACCATCTTGGCCTTTCTTGGAAGACACCACCTACATTGTCACTAAGGGGGAGAAGCACTCATCCTGCAGCCCTGCTGGGCTTTGAAGATAATGGGCCCAAAGATAAGAGTGTGCTGAATGGGGAAAGCTGTCCTCTTCCCCAGGTCAAGGGTGTGCTCTGCCCTCAGGCCACTCACCTGCCTCATGTGCCGCAGGGACTTGAAGACCGTCTTCCGGGGTTGCCAGCTGCCCCGGCTAGAGAGTGAGGAGGAGCCTACTGTGCATGGGGTCAGCTCCCGCCCTTCCACACCATCTGGCAACATAGTGACTTTATCCTCTTCTTCAGCCTCAGAGTTATCCCAGCTTTCTGATTCCTCTTCTAAGTCTGCAAGACACGTGACAAAGGCAGTTACAGAATATGCTGCCCTTCGGATGCAACATTCTCTTTGAGTGACTTTAGCCCTAGGCCAACTAGTGCCTGACTTTGGGCTGTGGCAGCCGCCTGTGCTGCCTATTGCCCCAAATGAGTAAAGAGGCTCAGCATCTGCAAACTCAGGACAACATAGTGAGCCTTAGGAGCACCTACTTAAGGCCCACAGGCCATTCGTTGTTGCCAACACTGTGTGTGTGTGTCCAGTTAGCATACCCTGTCCAGCATTGCTCTCAGGAGTCCATGCATCACCTTGTTTAATCTCCATTATCCTATCAGCACCACTGTCACCATTCCACAGATGAAGAAATGTCACCCCCATGAACCTTTGTGGCAGCTCTCATAAACGACCACATCTCCATTTTGTGCCACGAGACCCACAGGGCAGGGAGTGCCTGAGGAGCATAGCCGGGACTTGGAACCAGGGCTGGTTGACTCTTAAGGGGTGTGCCCTGAATCTGGCTGGTGTCCAGCTCCTCTCTGCCCACACTGCAGCTTGAAATATAACACAGTGTTATGTCCTGTGTGTGCAGCACTTGTACAGCTTCTCCAGGCTTTGCTCTGTGCCAGGCAACCTTACTAAGACTCTGCCCCTGCCACATGCACCAGCACGAACACTCATGACTGGCACAACAGGAAACGGTCCTAGGACTGCAAGATGCGGAGATAGCCTCAGGGTACCTCTTCTCTGAGTAAGCTGCTGGTGCTGAAACCCTGCTCAGAAAAGCTGGCATTAGTGTACGTCTGAACAAGTCAAGCACTTGCTTGTAGAAGGAGCACCCCTGAGCCAAACACAGCTATCCAAATGGTCAGTCATTTGCAATATGAAGCTCAGGAAGCATTACTAGTGACAAAGTGCACACATATCACGGGTCTGAGTGCCCACGCCACTGCTGGAACCATGGACCTGGAGCACTGAAGATCAAATCAGCCCTGGCAGATGCTCAGCAGAACAGAGACCAGAGGTCCTGGTGGGGGTAAGTTGCACCAGGGTCCCTAAGAAGTTTGCTGAATACAGCAGGGCTTTGTCCCTGATGTAGAGGACATTAGGAACCCAGGGGAGGCCTGGGAGGTGGGAAGAGCACTGCCCTCAATGCAAAGCTTGGGTTTGACTGAAAACATAGCACTTTTGCTTTACTAAAGAGATGACCTCCAAGGTCAAGCACTTGGCTAGCCTTATAAAACAGAAAGAAACCATCAGCCAAATCTTTCCACAATTGATCCAATTGTGGATTTTCCCAGCTTGCCTGGGGAATAGATTCTTTCACCTGACTGTCAAAGGAAGTAGGACAGGAACTCACAAACACACCAAAACCAGTGGCAAACTGTCACAAAAACACACTCTAGGTCCCTTTCTACCAGGACAGCAGATGGTGGCTCCTGAGGGTTACCATGGACAGAGGCCCCAGCAGTGGCACCCCAGCCTCACCAGCAAGTTTCTCCATTTGGACCAAGGTGTCTTCTGTCGGTGCACCCTCCAGAAGCTTCTCAGTCAGCCGGCTGCCACATGCTTTCAGGAGCCTGAAGAACACAGTACCAGACATGAGCCGTCTTGCCAAAGGAAAAACCAAACCTGACACTCACTACCTCAATCTAGCTACCAGTTTGCAGGAAACATGAGTATAAAAGAAGCATAGAAGAACACATGAGTGGTGCCCACCACCCGCACAAGGCCACACCAGCAAGATCCTGAATGCAGGTGATTTTGCAAGCCAAGTGACAAGGTCTCTCACTAAAAGCAAGGGGAAAAAGGGGGGGATGGGGCAGAAGGAAAATTATAGTCAACAGAAGCTTGGGATACTGTTCTGACCGCAATCCAAGAGAAAAATTTTCTTTCTTTCTTTTTTTTTTTTTTTTTACTTTTTGTAGGCTGTAGTGCAATGGCATCATCATAGCTTACTGGAGCCTTGAATTTGGGGGCTCAAACAATCCTCTGCTTTAGCTTCCCAAGTTCTGGCTAATTAAGATTTTTAAAAATAGAGATAAGGTCTCACTGTATTGCTCAAACTGGTATGGAACTACTGGGCTCAAGTCATGTACCCGCCTCCACCTCCAAAGTGCTGAATAACAGCAGCCCAGGACTGGGTTTGGACATGAGATCCTAGATTTCAAGCTAAGGCTCCAAAGGAATTTGGGGAGAATTTGCAGACAGAGTCTCTAGAAGGAGTGAATATATTCCTCAATAGGAGGAAGAGGAAACAGCTTGCATCTAAAGGACAGACTGGTGGTTCTCAAACACATCCGAAAGTTCACTAATCTCTCTTCTTGAGATGGGACACTAAACCCTTTCAACTGGCTTGGGCTTGGTGACGTGGTACACTTGTACCAAACAGGGAGTCCTGGAAGTGACAGCATATATCTTCTGAGCCCATGCTGTAAGACCTGTGGATTCCACCTCATTCTCTTTTTCTTTTTTGAGAAAACATCTTACACTCTGTTGCACAGACTGGAGTGCCATGGCATCAACATAGCTTACTGCAGCCTCAAACTTCTGGCCTCAAGTGATTCTCCAGCCTAAGTCCCCTAAATAGCTGGGTCTAGGTGTGTATCACAATACTCAGTTAATTTTGTTATATTTTTTGTAGAGATGAGGGGTCTCAAATCCTGGCCTCCAGCAATCCTCCCACCTCTGCTGGTTAAAATGCTAAGATTACAGGCATGAGCCACCAAGGCCAGCCCTACCTTATTCTCTTGGCTCACTCTAGGGAAGCCAATTCCAGGTCCATATGGCAAGCTGAGGCCTCCTGCCTACAGCCAGCCATAGAAGGTAAGCAGCCCTTCAGTCAAAACTCAACTGTCTGAGTTGCAGCTGACAAAGACACTCTTAGATCCTGAGCCAGAGCCACTCAGCTAAGCCACCTCTGACTTCTTGACCTATGGCAACTGAGATAAATGTTTTACTATTGATTTTAAAAAGGGAGGAGATTACTGGTCTTGGTACATAAACTTTTTTTTAACATATTGGGAAGGGAGTTCCATCTCAATATGCTTTCTACACACTAGGGGCAAGAGGCCCAGAGGATAAGGATGCTGGGCCCAGTTCTATGTTACATGAGTACATGTGGGCTGAAGCTCGATGCCAGGCTCAGACAAGGACTGTCCTCCCATATTGTGGACAGTCTCCCCCTCATGTCATGACTGTTCTTACTCTAACACCCGCTAAAAGGCCTGGGATATTGTTACCAAGCGAAAGAGGTGTGAAGACATGCCCACAAGTTGTCATCGCTAGTCAGCGATGTCAGTGAGCGGGCAGCGTTGCCATTCCTCTGGTGCAGGAACGGAGTGAAGGCTGTGTTCATCCTCTGGGCACGCTGGGGGCATCCAAACTGCTCTGCCTCGAACACCTGAAATGCAGAGGGAAGGGCAGCCTTTTTAACAAAGTCAGACTCACTGGCAATCAAACCCAGCTCATCCATAGCAAACTTCACAAATCTGATCCCCAAGAGCTCTGTCCTGCTCTGTTCTCACGATGTAGAACACAGCAAGTCTGATAGTCTGACAATTCCAAACATTGTGGCTTTGCCTTCCAGGCTAGGCTGGGGGCCACCTGAGAACAGGAATTGGTCAAGAGTCTCTGTCCACTCTCCTGTGGGTGACTCCTTAGGCGCTTGAGGGGATGCAAGCTGCAGGCCTATGGAGGTGGCCATCAGCACTGTGTTTCTAGGTCTCTGCCTTCCAAACCCACTGCTCAGACCCTGAGGTGAGGGACATGTGACTAGCTCCAGCCAACAAAGTGAGGGAGAAACAAGGCCCCTAGGCACCTCATGGTCGGAAGAAGCAACGTTCCAACATGGCCACTGCTATGCCAGTGGGTAACAACAGTGAACTGACGCCCTGCCCTGCAACAGCACACAGGGCAGGAACAGGAAATGGGCCCCGCAGAGTGATGCTGCTGAGATGTGACCGCTGTTGTCACCGGAGTGTGACCTGGCTTGTCCTGAGACAATGCCACAGCCAGAGGTCTACGTTAGGTGGTTGGTCTCAATAAGATCAACAGTCTGAGACAAAGGTCAGAGGAAGCACAGACATTAGTGCAGAACCAAGGTTCTGACGCCAGAGTGGAATAAGACAAGAGGCAGGAGAGGCCAGGGCAGCAGACTGAGAGGGTCAGAGTAGCCTGGACCCCAGCCCTACCCTTGGCACAGAGACACCCCAAGCGGCATGAGGCCCCCGCTATGGCACCTTGCACTAGGACAACACCTTGAGCGCCTTGCTCTGGAGCTCATCAATGATGCCCCGGACCTTCCCCAGCAGGAAGGGCCAGGAGTTGATGAGATAGATCCGGTCCATCATTATGGCGATGATGCTGTACCAGCGCTGAAAGCCCCTTGCCAGGCTGTCCTTAATGAAGAAGGTGTGGCTGAACACAAAGCCATGCTGCTCGTCTCCAAAGAAGATGGGGCCCTCGCGGCCAGGGCAGACCTGGGGAGAGGATAGTGACTTAGCACAGCCCTTCTCCCATCAGCAATGTCATATCAAAGCCTCAGCTGGCTTTTCTTCCTGCAAGACCCAGCCAGTCTTGATTATAGGGAGAGTGGCAAGGGAGGGTGAAAGTGGGGGACTCTCTACTCTCTGCCACTGTGGTCAGGCTTCCTAAAGACAACATTTGTCATCATGGAATGCAAGGGCCAATAGAGGTTTGCTGTTTTTTTCTACCTTGAGCCACAATAACCCCTGTACAAATACCACATCTCTCCTAGACTCTGAATTCTCTGTGACTGACAAAAACCTAAGACTTAAAACCTAAGCTCAGCAGTGGCTGCTGTGTAGTTTGGGAACAAATTGATCTATTCTCAGCAGGCTCTAAGGAGTACAATTACTAAGGCTGAGAATGAGCACTGAGACAATAAAAAAAGGGGCATTTGACAAAGTGAACTATGACTCTTAGAAATATGTCAGAAATATACACATTAGGAACGGACAAATAATAGAAGTTTGGTGCTTAAAGTGAATAACTAGTCCCCACTCTTGAAACCGGTGCATCCAACACGACTTAGTCTTCAAGTTCTGCACAACTGCAGCATCCTGTCCCCTCTCAGTGAGGAAGAAGCACCCACCTTCCTCCCCACAACCTGTGCTGCCCTTGGGGGTGCCTGGCAGTGAATGAGCTCCCACAGAGACAGGTCCACAGCCACACACAGATGCTCACCTCACAGCTCAGGCTCCGGACACAGGCCTGGCGGACAATGCTGAACAGCTGGGGGTGGTTGGGATGCTGGTGACTGACATATTTAATGGAAGTCTCTTTATCGTGGCTGATGTACCCTGGATGGCCTGCAGCAAGTGACCGGCAACCCTGTGCCCCATAAGGAAAAAAAAATTAGTTGGGAAACAGGTTAAGAACAGTCCAATGCTTATGCAAATCTTGACTTAGGAAACTATTTCTGCATAAAAACAACTGGCTTTTAGGCTTATATTTACCTGAGAATTTACATGTTTCCTAAATAGGAGAAATCCAGGACACTGAGATCCCAGTGGTTGCAGAGGACAGAACAGACCTTACTAGCCGAGAGCCCCCACAGCAGGTTTTACAACAAGAGCTCTTCCTACCCAAGACAAAGTGAGGTTGAGATGGGAAGCAGCAACCCCAGGACACAGGGCTAGCAAGGGGCACACAATGTATTTGACCTACTTTTTTAGATGATTCATCACCCCCCACCTCACACCCACTCCTCAAGCCTCTGTCCTCAGTTTTGAACACCTGCAGGGCCTTAGGAAGGCATGGAGGCCAGCCCTCCCTGAGACACAGAACTCTTTCTGCAGAAACCCCAAACCTGGCTCAAGGACCCTCACACTGAGCCTCCCTTCCCTCCTGCTCCTGCTGCCCTGGTCTGAGGTGCCCCCCAACTTCTGTCCCCTCATCCCTCATAGGTGATTCCAGCAGCAGATAAATCTCTTATATGCCTGCTTCTCAGTAGAGCCTGACAAATGAGGTACGCTTGTCTGTGCCTGCTGGCAGATCCAATACCCAGCCCTGGTTCTGGGTACTGACTCAGGCCCTCCAGGCATAGTGGCCATCTGTTAGAGGAAACATACTAACTTCCCAGAGCTCAATGTGGAACCTTGGAGATCCACGAGGAGAAAATTGCTGGAAGCACCGGGCTGCGGAAACCCCTACCCAGCATAGGCTATGGCATGAACGCAAGGTGAATGCCATGGCAGAGAGGCACAGAGTGTGTTAAAAAAGCTAAAGTCAGGATGAACGGGAAAACCAAATGGGCACAAAGAGGCACATACCAGCCATGGAGCTCCCCAGGGAACTGTTTCAGCCCTGAAGCCCTCAACCCGAGCTCATGGGACTGCAAGACCTCCTGCCTACTTCCATACTTCCTACAAGAGAACAAAACATCCCTGAGACCCCAGAGACACTTGCCTCACACATGTCTGACTTTTTGGGCCCAGGGCTGCTGGACTCGGTGCTGGCCCCTTCTGCTGGGCTGTGTGCGCGAATCCGGCTGCTCATCTGAATGCCGCCTTCCTCCTCCTCACCCTGCTCACCCTGGCTGGGGCAGTCCCTGTTCCCCGCACCTTGAGGAAGTGGGGCATGCAGGACCTCAGTGCAGAAGAGAGTACGGGGTCCATGGAGCTCGCAGAAGTGACACAAAGCAACAATGGCATTCATGGTGCCTGGAGACAGCAAAGGCCTGAGGATCAGGAGGGTGAAAATGTCAGCTGACAGCACTTGTTCACCCTGTGAGATCTCCCCTGCACCTCTGGGGCAAAGGGGGCCCCTGGTGTTGGCAGTAGATGCCCCAGGGCAGCTCACTGCACCTGAAGCCTTGCCCTGCAGGCAGAAGGACCCAGCAAATGTGTACCCAGCGAAGGGACCTCTCTAAAGAACCCTTGGCCTTTTATTTATATTGCTTCAATGGGGTTTGCCATGTTTGGGATGCTGCCAGAGGTGAGGGGAGATCTCACCCCAAGCAGTGCTGTGGGATACCCACTCTGCACCGATGCTACCCAGGGCCTAGGAGAGCCCAGAAGAAGACAGGCACGGTCCCTGTGCATGGGCAATTCCGGCATACAGAGTACAGAATGTGAGTGGTAAGCATACATCAAATCTTTGGGTACAACTATGCTGGGGCCTGAGGACAATGGAACAGAGAGAAGATGCTTCCCTGGGTAACAAAATAGCAAAACACAGCAAACCCCACTGAAGCAACACAAATAAAAGGCCAAGGGTTCTAAAAGGCCAAGGTGTGGTGAGCTGCCCTCACACAGCTGGCTCCTAGGAGGAGGGAGAAGGGAAGACTGCTCCTTCCCATGGGTGAGAGGGCTAGGGTGGAGAGCACTGGCAGGAACGGGGGGTGGGGAGGGGGACGGACTAGAGGGATCAATGCTGCTGCTGGGGGGTATTGGATCAGGGAGCATCAGGGCACAGGCAGACAGAATAAGATGAAATGCACGAACTCTAGCTGTGACATTCGTGATGTGTTCTGACCACCTCGACTGCTCTCTGGTGGGAGGCTGATTACACAGTCCCTTCCAGGCCATGGAAAGAAAAGACTATTCAGAGACTGAAGAGGTTTTGGTGGGTTCAGAGGAGAGACACGGGATAGGGATTTGACTTTAAAAGACTCATTCAGGCCGAAGTGCAGAAAGTAGACTGCAGGGGACCAGGTAGAAGTGGGAACGGTGCTCCTAAGGCAGGGCAGCAAACTGCAGGACAGATGGGGCACAGGGCTCAAAGAAAAACTGGGAAGAATGGGGAAGTGGGGACAGGAGGAGGCCCAGCAGGGCTTCCACAGAGCTCAGACCCTAAGGGAGGAGGACCTGGCCCAAGTGACAACATGGCCAGGAAGGCAGGAGGGGAGCTCCAGGATCACCCAGCAACCAGGTGAACAAAGTGTTTTAATGGAATGTCACCCAGAAGGCAGAGACAGATTGGCTCACAGCCCCAGCAGGGAAGGAAACCTGGTTGTGTACACATGATGGCAGGGCTGACCCTAGAGGACACTGTGCCAAGTAAAACAAGCCAATCACAGAAAGGACAAACACGGCCTGATCCCACTCATATGGAATAACCAGAGCAGTCAAATGCAGGGAGACAGGAAGAATGGGGGCTGCAGGGACAGGGAGGGGAGAACGGGAGCACCTATTTAGCAGGAACAGTTTCATGAGAGGTATCCTTGGGGGGAGTGCTGCAGCCCCACAACAGTGTGATGTACTCAGTGACATGGGACTGTGCATTTAGCAGTGGCTAAAGTGGAAAATTTTATGTCAAGTATATTTTTTCACAATTCATAAAAAAGGACAGAGTGGCCACCTGCAGAGCAACATGGAGGCCACCAGTGACGTGAACAAGAGCACCTTTGATGGAGAAAAGGCTTGAGGGAATGAATCCAAACAACCCTTCTCAGAGTTTCTGTGGCAATGTGACAGGAATAAGGCAGCACCTAGGGGGAGGTGGAGTCAAGGCAAGCATGGCCACAGCACAGCAGAGTGGACTTCACACTCCATACAGAAGAGGCAGATACACAGGCCTCTCTGGGGAAAACCAAGGGAGACTCTGAGGATGGGGGCTTGGCCACTGGGTTCAGACAAGTAGAGAAACGTTCTAGAAATAAGACCACAGGAAGAAGGAAACAGCAGCAGGGACAGCTGCAGCCACAGCCTGACATGTGACAGAGGCGGCCATGTGGCCAGATGGAGGAGGGTCTGGAGTGCTGGGCTAGGATAACTATGTGTTCTCCATACCATGCTGTCCAATATGGTGGCCATAGCCATGTGTGGCAACTTAAGTTTAAATTAACAAGGCAAAAGCTCATTCCTTTCTCACTGACCGGTCAGGTATGGCTGGAGGCCACTGCATTGAACAGTGTGGATTAGAGGATGTCTCTGCCCCCAGAAAGCTCTATTGCATACCTTCGTTCCAGACAATAAGGAAACATTTAAATTTTGAATGTTGGCTCAGCGCCTGGGGCTCAAGCGGCTAAGGCGCCAGCCACATACACCTGAGGTGGCAGGTTCGAACCCAGCCGGGGCCTGGCAAAACAACGACAGCTGCAACCAAAAAATAGCTGGGCATTGTGGCGGGCGCCTGTGGTCCAGCTACTTGGGAGGCTAAGGCAAGAGACTCGCTTGAGCCCAGGAGTTGGAGGTTGCTGTAAGCTGTGATGCCACGGCACTCTACCCAGGGGGACAACTTGAGGCTCTGTCTCAAAAAAAAAAAAAAAAAAAAAAAAAAATTAAATTTTGAATGTTAAACCAAGTAGTGGACAGCAGCCAAGACCTTCTCTTTTGGGGACTTCCTCTTCCAATATGGAGCCAAGGGCTAGACATTCTTTGTCCTTACCCCTGGAGGGTAGGGCTTAGAGATGACCATGCCTAGTGAGACGGCTAAAGATGCCAAACCCAGGAGGAAGACAAGGCAGCAGCCAAGAGTGGCTATGCAGGGTGGTGGCAGGTTCAGAGGGTTCCCTGAACAGCCACCAGGACCAGCTGTGCCTGGGCTGTCCTTAGCTGCTCCACCCCACCCCTAAGAGTCCCCTATCAAAGGCTGTGTCTGGGGCCTGCTGCTCTGGCCCACTCACTAACACGGTGACCCACCTGATGTGTCTGTAATTGGCTTCTTGGCTGCCACAGCACCTACCCTTCTGCTAAGCTGGGCTAGAGCTCGAGTGTTCACACTGGAAATGGCAGAGACAGACAAAAGGTAGACATGTGTAGTCAGCAGGACTGCTGGGAGCCAGTTTGGGGGACCAGAGAGGAAGACAAAGGAGCTGGCAGGGTGTGGAGGGCCAGCGTCTGCAGGTATACTGGGGAGGGAGGCTGGGAGAGGAGAAAATGAGACAATGGGATGTTTAAACAGCTGAGAAATGTGGAGGGCTCCATGGAGATTCTGGGTCAGGATCAGAGAGGGCAGGGGAGGGTAGTGTTGGAACATTCTGCAGACCTTCACCTGGCTTACTCCTCCTTACCACTCAGCTTCCACTGGCATGTCTCATATGTCCCCTCCATCCCTATTAGCCCCTCCCCACTGCTGAGGGTTAGAGCCTGTATTGTCAGTGCTTCTCCTTTACACAAGAAGTCTCATAAAGGTAGAGACACTGCTCTAGCTGCTTATCCCGCAGTATCAAGTTCCTGACACGTAGGAGGCACCACATAAATGTGTGTTGAATGAATAAGTACATTGAAGAGTTTCCCACAGAGATGACAGTTGTTGCCACAGAAACTGGTGGTACCTACAGATGGGAGAGGCTCATGAGCATGTCCATCAGAAAAGACAGACGGAGTCTAGTGGCAGAGAACCCAAATGACCAGGGTTCAGTGAAGAGGCCACGAGGCTCACCATGGTGAAGTGAAGGAAAATGACGGTTTAACAATCCATTGTGTAAAAGAAGACAAGGTGACACTGATGGGACAGGTGGTAGAGGAAGGAGGAAAGGGTATCAGCATCCAAAGTAAAGGCAGAGACATTAACCCTGGAAAAGGAAGCCCTCCTTTGAGAGGCATAAAGGGAAGAGAAATAAGGTTTCTTCTAGCAAAACAGCCACAGGGCAGCAGTCCTTGGGTAAGTCTTACCCCATCTGCAGAACATCAACACCAACCTTTTACTTTGCAGAATCACACTTCTACCTTCCCGCCCTGACCATGTGAGGACCCTGCCCACAACAGCAGTCACACATGAAAACCTGATGTTTTCTAGGTAAGGGGAAAAAAAAACAAACCCAGAACTCTTTGAAGAGTAGTAGTCCTTGTAGCATGAAAAAATATTTCAAGTAGCTTAAAGCCAACCTCCAACTCATGTCATGAAATCTCAGGTGAGGATGTGGCGAGTCCCTGAGGCTTTGAATGGCTTAGCAGATCTTCACCTTTTGAGCACTAGCTGACAGCATCTGATAAAGGATCTCTTTAAATAAAAACATGTTATTTAAATATCTTTTGAAAATGTGAAATATCAAAAAAATATGAAGTCCTGTTCTTTCCTATATCATGCCAATCTAGCCTTTCGACTGCTGGCCTCGATGTTTCTCCTCTTTCCTCCTCAAGTGGGAAGGGGAAACCAGAGACAATGTTGCTAAGCTTCTTCCCAGCACCCAGGAATCCAGGATTAACACAGCCTATTACTCTTTTTTTCTGAGACAGTTTCACTTTGCCACTCTCGTAGAGTGCTGTACCATCATAGCTCACAGCAACCTCAAACCCCTGGGTTCAAGAGATCCTCTTGCTTCAGGCTCCTGAGTAGCTGGAACTACAGGCATCTGCCACCATACCCAGGTAGTTTTAGAGATGGGGTCTCGTTCTTACTCAGGCTGGTCTTAAGCTCAGATGATCCACCCGCCTTGGCCTCCCAGAGTGCTAGTATTATAGGCCTGAGCCACCATGCCTGGCCGGACTATTACTCTTATTATTTTTAACAAAAAGCACTAGTCTGAAAGTGTTCTGTATTTGGTTCTTGTCTCATGCCTGCCAGACCCCCCAGGCAGCCACTGGAAAGCAGAGGGGTGCTAGCTCCTGAGTTGAGTCACACAGTCCTCACCAACCAGGGGATGTCAAACGTGTCACTTAACCTCTCTGAATTCCATACTTAAGCTGAAGCCTTCTGGGGTTGACACCATCCGTGGGACCACGACTCTGGGCAGCATATATGGTCAGGCATTTATTCACTTTCCAATTCTTCTGTCTACCAGGAGTTTGCTGAAAAAAAAAAAAAAAAACTGGTGTGAGTATGCCCAAGTCTTCCTTTCCAAAAAGCTTTCCAGATCGAAGGAAGCAGGAGTCTTGCCCTGCCCAGTCTCTTCAACACCATACTCAAAGCAAGTTTTTACATCCCTTGATTAGACAGAGAGCCTGTTCACTTCCCTTTCCCACACAGGCTAAGCCACAGACCTGGACAGCGACATCTGCACTCCCCTTGGCTCCCTAGCCCTTCTGCTCAGTGCCCTCATCCCTCCAACCTATGGTCCCCTCACAGCAACATGGAAGACTACAGAGGCCGCCCCTAAGTAAGACCGACTTTAAAATAAGTACGGTATTATAAGGGATCTTGACCAGGGCGGCTGTGGAGCTGCCGTAACTTAGACTCCCACCAGAGCCTCATTCAGTCAGCGCTGGAGTCCCAGCAAGTGCAAGGTGGAAAGTTCTGCTGGGGATTACAGCAGTTCAGACTCACGCTGAGACTCTAGCTGTGTCTGCTGCCCACCTGGACCTCCGTTTACAGAGCTCCCGGACACGTGACACTAGACAGCTGGCAGAGTTTCACCCGCCGCTGTCAATTACTTTCAAAGTCAAGTCTACTGCCTCCAGCAGTATCTATTTCCAGCAAATTCCTCCTTGCCCCCTTGCAGGGGATCACCTTGGACCTCAATCCACAACAAGCTGATCCCAGGGCTAAACATTCATTCCAGATGGTAAGGACACGACAAGCTAATACCCGCCGAACCGGAGAGAAGCAGCACGTCGTCTCTCCGGAAGACACAAAGCTGGCCTCTGGACCATCGGCCCGAAGCACTGCCGCTGCCGTAGTGAGAAGGAAGACAGTCTCACGGCAACGTTAAATGAGCAAATCACTGACCTCGATGCAGGGTTCCAGCGCGGGCCACAATCTTTATCCCTACAGTATACAGACGCGCCCCTCTCCCCGCTCCCTCCAACCTCAGGGTTTCCGCACAACCACCATCCTGACCCCGCCCGCCCGCACGCCTCCGGACCCGGCGCACCCCGGAGCTCCGCCGCCCGAGCTTTCCGCTCCCCTGTCCCGCTCCCGGTTCCAGCACCCCCGCCCGAGTGCTCCCGGTGAGTCGTCGCCGCAGGCCGGGGGGGAGCAGGCCTGCTCCAACGCCACCACACTCACCCTCAGTCCCCGCGGTCGCCACAGCCTACGGTCCCAGAGCCCGCCCGGGGCGCGTGACTGAGCCGGGCCGTACTACCGCCCCGCCCCGTGGAGGGGGACTGCGAGGCTGTCCGAGGACTTTTTGCACTACGAGGCGACAGGGGCCGCGCCAGGTCCACACCGGGGACAGAGCTGGAGTCCTGAATTCGTGTCTGGTGGGAACCCGGGGCCGCAGCCCACATTTCCCTCTCCCGCCACCCCCGTGAAGAAGTAAGGAATGGTTCAGACCGCACCCAGGCGCTGCGGAGGAAACCATTGCAAACGCGGAGGGGGGAGGGTGGGAACCCTACAATTTAAAAACGTTTAAAAAGAGATTTGAGGAAAATGCAGCCAGCCTAAGACTTGCCACATACAAGAAAAACTAAAAAGGAGAAACTTGTGGGTTGTGACTTTTTTTTTAATTCCACCGCTGATTTTCAATAACCATTGAACCTGTCTTCTCCCCACAGTAGGAAGGCAGTGGTGGGAGCACTTGGCGCGGGAAGTGCTGGACCTGACCTCCCAATGGGCGCGGGAGTGCGCATGCGCCAGTCACAACTTCCCTCCCTCCCACTCTTCCCCCTCCTCTCCCTCCCACTTTCTCCTCCCTCCTCTTCCTTGTGCTCGTCCTGGTTTTTAAGGAAAACATAAGTCAATTACGGACTATCATATGGATACAGGTGGGCCTCGTGATTGAGACCAGATGCGTTCCTGAGAACGTCGGATATGGGTCACTGGGATTCCTGATGAACAGTGCATAAAGGATAATAATAATAACAATACTACAAAGGCTCATATAGGCCAATAATAATACAGTATAATAGTGTAATAATAAAACCTTTGTATCTTAATAAGTTACAGAAACTATTGTGCTCTTTCAATTTAAGCGAACAAAACATAAAAACATACAAAAAGTTTGATAGGAGATAGAACTTTCGAAAAAGAATATGAAAGGTTAACATTCACCTAATGTTGCATCCATGTCTTTTTTCCTGGAAGGGGCATTTTTGAGACAAGAAGGTGGGCTGACATTAATTAGAAAGTGATGATGAAGACAGTGGGTGCTGGAGAATCAGGATTTGACTCTGTTGTGCAAGAGGGGCCAGCTTACCATTGAAGGAGGTTTCTTGAAAAAAGTATCTAGGGTTGTTTGCGCAGCCTTTTTCTCATTTCCATCATAAACAGCCCTGTAGCAGCTGGTGGTCTCACTAACTGTGCCATAACCCTTTGTAAACCCCTCAGTGTTAGGGTCTTGATCCTTAAGCTGCATGGCAATACTGCTTCAATGAGATGAAAGCCTTCAGCTACTCCTTTGTTGGTTCTTGACTCTGGATCTTCTGATTCTTCCTGTTCTTTTTTTTTTTTTTTTGGGACAGAGCCTCAAGCTGTCCCCCTGGGTAGAGTGCCATGGCATCACGCTCACAGCAACCTTCAACTCCTGGGCTCAAGCGAGTCTCCTGCCTCAGCCTCCCAAGTAGCTGGGACCACAGGCGCCCGCCACAACGCCCGGCCATTTTTTGGTTGCAGCCATCATTGTTGTTTGGCGGGTCCGGGCTGGGGATTCGAACCTGCCACCCTAGGTGTACGTGGCTGGCGCCTTAGCCGGTTGAGCTATAGGCGCCGAGCCCTTCCTGTTCTTATATTTCTATCAGCTGCTTCTCTATTTTTGAGACTAACCACAGGCCTAAAGGTGCTACACCAAAGAACTGCTTATGCCATGTGGGTTTGTTTACATGCACAGAAGAAACAAATTCCCAAATTGCTAATTTAATTATTTAATCATAAATTACCCTTTAGAGCCTAAGTATGGAACACCTGTAAGTCAGGTTGTCCGTAACCCAGGGACTGCCTATATCCATAGCAGCATTATTCATGATAGCCCAGAAGTGGAAACAACCCAAATCTGGGAGCTGATGAAAGGATAGACCTAATGTGGTGTATTCATACCATGGCAGTTATAAAGACGAATGATGTGAACTTTGCATGCTACAACATGGATGTAGCATGTTCTTTTCACTTGAAAGCATAAGTGAAAGAAGACTGACAAAGGATCACATAGTAAATGATTCTGTTTATATGAAATGTCCAGAATAGGCACATCCATCAAGACATAAAGTAGACTGGTGGCTGCAGGGGCTGGGGCTCGGAGAAGGTTGTGAGAAATAGGGAAGGACTGGTAATGGGCATGTGGTTGTGGTTTCTTTCAGGGTGTGAAAAAGTTCTGTGATGGGTTATGGCAATAGCTACACAACTCTTGTAAATGTACTGTAGAGGAAACTGAGCCCTGATCTTTAGCATAAGACTCGCTTCCTGCTTGAGAGAATCATGAGAATGCCAGGAGATCAGATAACTAGCTTTCAAGGGAGGTGTGGGGATAACCAGGCCTAACAGTGATGGTGAGGATTCTCTAAATTTCAAAGGTCTCTTGATGCTAGAAGCAGAGGTCTTGCTTAAGGTCTGAGATTTTGCAAAACAAATTGGAGACATTCTGTCTGATCCTTTCCGTATTCCCCCCTTCTTTTTAATACTGATGTCTGATAAACAACTTTTAAGTACTTTTTCCTGCTTTGTGATAATAAATACAGACCAAGGTTAACTCAGGAGGGCTCCTCCCAGAGTTCCTCAGTCCCCTGACACAAATTTGTGTTAAGCCTCTTCATTCCTCACGCCAAGACCCCATCATCTGGTGACCCCAATCTCCTTTAATGTATTAGAAATCACTGAATTGCATATTTTAAATGGGTGAAAGGTAAAACTATTAAAAAACAAAAAAGCCAGTAAGCCTGGGCACCTGCCATGGGAACAGCCACCATGGAGCAAAGGGACACATAGTTGGGGAGTAGAGTGTCAGATCTGGAGACTAGTGAGCACCAGCAGGCCCCAGAAGGAAGAAAACAAAAGAGAAAATGGCAGCCACTAGCCACATTTGGTTTTAAATTTAAAGTTAATTTAAATCCAATACACTTAAAACTTCACTTCCTGAGTCCCATCAGCCATACTGTAAGGGCTCAACTGGGGCAGACACCTACAGACTACCACGTGGCCCAGGACAGACCCATCCTCACAAGTTCTGTTAGATAGCACTGCTCTGGAATAAACCCTAGCTCTGCTTTGTTCTTGCTACTTGTTTCTGGAAGCACAAGTTACTTTTCCATTTGGACCCTAGGTTTGTTCATTCCCAGGATTAGTTTACTTGTGTTTCACACCAGCACTGATGTCACTGAGGTCGCCCTGGTCTCATCTGCACTGCTGATGTCTGTCTACCAGGCCTGAGTCAGAGGAATTAATTTTTGTCCCTGCTATAGGAAAAAGTGCGTGGACTAGAGGGAGATTTACAGGTTTATATTCACATTCTGGCTTTCCCATTTACTAACTACATGGCCTTGAGCAATTTATAGAACTGTACATTGTTTTCCTCTTTTCCAAATTATGGAAAATTCATACCTCACCAAGCTGTAAAAATAAGTGAAATAACAGTATTAAGGGCCTAATTCAGCACCTGCTACGTAGCGTGCTCAGTGAGTGCTACTTTCTGTTCCTTCCCACTTCCTATTTCCCATTATGCTCCTTTGCTCCAGGTACAGCCAAGACAGAGACAGCAGGTTCTCCTGGAAGTTCTGAGATTTAAAGGAACAACTCATCAGTTGGGGAAGAGTAATGTATGGGTAGAAGATAGGTAGGTTCTTTGCTTGGAAATCATAGGCCAAGGTTCATGATTATCAAGCAAAATAGTTTGAGTCCTTAGAATGTTAAATTACTTAGGAAAACAGGAAGTGCCTTATGCAAGGGTAGCAGCCTAGAAAATGCTCACAGGGAGTATGACGCATGCCTGCAGATGCAGAAGGCTAGAAAAGCAGAGTGAGCTGAATCTGACAGGTACAACCACCTAGTACTTACCCCCACAGGATAAATAGTACTTCTGTTTTTGAGACCCAGAAGACCATTTTAGGCTAATGAGCCTTTCAGCATTAGCCTTGTCACAATTTTTCTTTTGTCTATTTCTGAAATCCTGTACTGCAGGACTCTATTTCATGATGGAGGCAATTTATACATATTACAACAGTGTGAAGAGACAGAAGCATATGGTAGTTTGCAGAGTTCTTTCCTGGGCACACACTGGTGCTTGCCCACTGAGCTGTGTGCTTGCGGTTTCCCTGCACTGCAGGGCTGTCATTGTCAGGTGAATTCCCACTGCTGCAAACTGGCTGCACCAGTTTCAAAGTCACTTTCAGACATGACAGCATTGAGCAGGACAGGGACAATTTATCCCAAGTTACTCTTGAAAGGAAGGAAGAATCTTTTCTCAGAAAGAGCTGGAAGACTTCCCTTGTCTCACTGGCCAGAACTGCAAGGTAGGCCCACATCGAACTTCGTAAGTGACAAGGAAAACTGGATCATAATGACTGGCATAGATGGACTAGAATTCATTCCTGGGGCATGGAGAGTGTGACCTTTTTCAGACTAGACACTGAAAATCAATGAAGACTCCCCATCAGGAGAAGAGAGGAATGACTCTTAGGAAGGCAAACAGCCAGACTCTTTCTGGTAACACTTCTCGAAACTTCGATGGGCTTTCGAGTGAGTAGGGAATGGTACCAACTGCTTTTTTATCCACAGTTCATCTTAGATGATCTTCACCGTCCTCAGATGCTGTCCTTGTCCCAGAATTAGTGTGGGACTCCATCTGACCTCTGTCTGAAATTATGTCACTCCATTTAATCTGTTTTTTGTTTGGCAGTAGAGGAAATGAAATGGAAACACCAGTCTCTCTTCTGGGAAGTGAGGTCTTTGCATCTGAAGCTTCCTCTAATAGAACACATATAGCAGCCTGGTACACTCCTTCTCCCGAGTGCTGCTGCCCCCCAGACGCTGTCAGGATACTCCAAACCTAGCTGCAACTGCACACACCGTTTTCCTATAGATTGCAAAGTTGTTATAAAAGGGTATAATCAACCTTTCATGTAACAGATATTTTGTGTGCTCCTTTGATATTCTGTCCCTCTGCTTGGCACTAAAGTGTAATAATTAGCAAAAACAGACATAATTCATGACCTTATTGAGCTTAGAGTCTAGTAATGAAGACAAACATTAACCAATAAAAACAAAAGCAAATGTGAAATTTTAACAGCCTGTGAGGGAGGCTGCCCTCTGGACATGAAACTTAAACTTGTATTAGGGAAGGCAGGAGTGAGTTCAGTACATGAAGGAGGGAGGAAGAGTGATATAAACAGAAGGAATGTCATAGGAAAAGGTCCTGTGTCAA